AAATTTCATTAAGTTAATTGAGGAACTTATTTACTTATATTGTTTTTATTAACATATACTAAAAAATTAATTTATTTTGAAGGATAAATGTTAAAAAAATTACTTTTTTTTTATTTCCCGCCTCCTTTTTCATTTCCCCGCTTCTGTTTTCATTTCGCTTCTGTTTTCATTTCCCCGCTCTCTCTAAAAACCCCCAAAACGGGCCAAACCCCCCTCTCTATCTCCAAACCCCCAAATCTCTCCAGAACGATCGCCAGCAACTCCTCTCGCTGAAGAAACCTCCAGCACACGCGCTGCACCCGCAGCGTCTCCACGCAGCACCCCCGTCTCTCACCTCCCAACTCTACCAAAACCCTTGGCGGCTCCTTCGAAAAAAATAGGCAACCACCGAGTATTCCTTCTCTCAAAACCCTATTTTCCCTCTATTTTTTTTGTTCATTATTTAGGTTTTTTTAGAAGAAAGTTATGATCTGAACTTTTGTTTGCAGTTTTGTTGATTTATGAGGCTTGTGATTACTTATTTCGCTGGCTAAACGCAAAGAATAGAAATAAACATACATCATTTTTTATGGATCGCTTGGTATTTTGTTAGTGTTGAATCTTATAATCATGGCCCTGTAATTTTGGTGGATAGAGCACGGATAGTTACATTATTTTGGTGGATAATCATGGCCCTGTAATTTTAGTGTTGCAATGGGAGAGGCAGGCCAAATTACCAGATTGGTAATTAATTCAATTCTATTTTCTAATATAGTATTTATTTCTATATATTTGCAGCGGCGGAGGGTGGTGAACATCTGGAGGCGGCGACCAGAGGAGAGTTTCACGGGGAGCAATGATAATTGGGTCTGGTCACTCGCGGTGTGATTTGTGAGAATTTCACGGGGAGCAAATGAGGGGTTCAAATTTTCTTTGATGAATGAGGGGTTGGGATTTCAACAAGTTATTCAGGTTTGGTTTATTCAAAAAATATTTAACAACTATCATTATATTTCCCTTTTTCTATAATTATTTTGAACGTATATTGTAGCAGTATCAAGGTTTTCAAACAAATCAACCAGGTGACTATACATTTCCAGTACTAAAGCGTCCTCCTTACTATAGTATGATGCAAGCAAATTGACAATTTTATTTTCCTCATCCATTTTCGGTATGATCATAAATTAACTTGTTCTTATAGCGATTTATTGACATCTCAAATTAGGTATCAGTTCTCATCAAATAGGCAATATATATACTTGAATGTGTAGATACAGGAGGATCAAGTCCAAAGAGCTCAGAGTCATGCAGATAAGTAGAAGTGCAGGTATAGCATTAACAAAGGAATTTGTTTTGCTTATATCTCTCTTTGCAGATTTGATGAAATTTATTGAATCTTTTTGGACTAGTTAATCCATAACATGTTCTTATACATGTTTTTATTTATTTATTTATATTTGTAGAAGTTTACAACGTGGAGAGTTAAACATGCTCTGAGTTGTCGAAACTGAAAAGCTTGTTCAAAATCAAATGGAGAGTCCTCATTTTGTTTGCGTGGTTCGAT